ATAATTTTTCACAGCACTGTAAATAATGTTATGCTGTTGAGATATACTTTCTAATAGAGACCATTTATAAACTGTTATCATATAATATCTATATCTCTCTGATCACACTTCAACACCAATCAGACACAATTCCTTTAAACTGTCTTCTATGAATGTTAACCTTAAAAACAAGTATATTTTGAAAGATTAACCATGTATTTATAATAAAGACATTGATTGTAAATGAGTAAATTGCTTTGTCTTTCTACCCACTATAGAGAACACGAGAAAATGATTACAACATTGGGCTTATCGTTATAGCTGATGGCAAGTAGTGATAAAGTCAAATGAAGACGCGTGTTTTAAACTAGGTTGACAAATATCTATGTCCTGTATGATTTTTAAAGATATCGATAGATATCGAGCACAATGTAATTTCTTGTCTACATGACATCATAGCCGCTATCTGATTTTGAAAAGAAGAAAAAAAAAGGTGTGTTAAAGTCAAAGTGCAAGAAACAGTAAACATATGATGGTCGAACAAAGTCTACTGTTTGTTATTCTTGCCACAATTTTCTTTGACCTCATCTGTAATAGTGGTTACGGGCAATGGCAGATTTAGAAAAAATTTTCGGCGTTGGCGGATTGGTAGAAAAGATGATCAGTAGATTGTATACTCTTCTTTCTTACTGTTTTTAATATCTTTATAATAAAAACACAATTGGTAAAAAATTCTATGCGCTCGGCACGTTGCACAAGGAGAGTATAATAGTATGAAATCCAATATTTCGGTGCTGGCAGCCGCCAGTACTCTAAACCCACCACTGGTTACGGAAAACAGAAGTAACTGTGTAAATTAATGGCTATCAAAAAGTAAAACAGTCGTTAAATATGCGTGTGGTATGGTGTATGTATCTGTGTGTGAACAGAAAGAAAGAAAAAAAAAGGTAGCTAGCTAATTTTTCACTACCATAGATGTGAGATATTAGAACAATGTTCGGTTTATTAAAATTTTGTTTCTTGATTATACATCTAGTATTATGGTAAGTTTTTTATCTCGCTCCATAAAAAACATGATTAGGGTTAGTATCTTATTGATTAGGGTATGTGTATGAATAATAAGCCTAGTTAGTAATACAAATTTAAACAGTGATGCCTGTTTTTTGTGGTTTTTACCTATTACTTTTATCCAAGCATTGCTTGTCCTCGATTTTGCTTGTACTTAAAAAGACAGAGTATTGAATGTACTAAAGAAAAACGTTTTCATTCGATGCTCATTTGTTCACTATCATTCATATTAAGGAAGTTGTATCGTCTTTTTATATACAGCTATACCATCTCAGTGTGCGAACTATAAAGTTTCTCTCAAAAAAACATCTTTCGAACATAAGAAGGGCGTAATACATCAATTTTTTCTAAGCTCCGTGATAACGCATCTCTTGGAGAAGAAAGACATGGTCGTACTCAGTAAAAGTCGATCGTGTATTATTATCGCTCGACAGGGCGTGCAGCATTTCGTACGAGGTAACAAGGGATCGGAACGACATAGAAGTTCGGTATAGGGCGAGTTTTTAACGCTGTCTTTCTTTTTAGAACGGGGTCAGAATACCCATTATGAGACTTTTTCACTCTCTTGTGGAAAACAATAATCTTTATAATGTGATGTACAAATAGAACGAAATTTCAATTTTCCTGATCACTAGACATAAATTGTTATTCATTTGACAATGAATAATATCAACGGTTTGAAATGAAAACAAACCTGTATAACAAAGCATATAATCAATTAGAAATAGTAATTCGGTTTGACATTTGAGGTTTTACTTATAAATATCTTTAATTATATGGGTAATAATGACGTGTAAACAAAAGAAATGCAAATAAATAAATGTTTTCAAGGTTCAAATACGGTGAATTTTTACAATTAAAAGTAAATTTCTCTAAATATCTTCATTAAATTATGACTATCCGTTTATTTCCATGAGATTATCTATGATTGATAATGTCTTGAATGACATGTAGTGTCAAAAGTACGATAATCTACGAAAATTCAAGAGCGATTATTGGATAAATGTTATGTAGTGAGAGCATGCTGATGTATTCACGGCCACTTTTGTAAAGAATATAAATATGAAGGACACTTAAACTTCACTTATGTTACAAAAAAATGAGTTACTTGCTTTTTCATCATTTAAATATTGATAACTGATTAATAGACAACATATTGAATAGGTACTTTGACTCATTATCTTGTATCATCAAGGTGATTCTAGAAAATAAGACAATGCAATGTGACGTTCTATTGTTATAATTCGAAAATAAATTCAATTGATTACGATTATTGTGCCCTATGTTTTTACCCTTCCGTCTTATTTGTCAAATCTTATTATATTTATTTCAAATCATTCAATGAATAGTGGTGTAATAACACCGTTTATTCAACTATACTATATATATACTAGGAAATAGACATAGGCAAGCGCCTACACACTAACACACAGGTAAAAATAATATATCGAATATTTAATACAAAATGATCAGCAAAATAGATAATCGATGATTATGAGGGTGATAAATAATTGTCATTATGTTTGTATTGTTTGAATTTATGGCGCTAGGTAGACTTTGATCGATTTACGCATTGAACACGACATTCCATTTAATTAACAAACAACAGAAGAAAAAAAAAAGGTATAGATGTAATCATGAGTCACATTTAAGTAAATATAACTGACTATTGACAAAATTTGATCATTCTACTCAAAATTAATTTTTTTTCTTATCAGTCTACAGAGACATAAGTGTAAACTGTATATGATTTTAACGTCATGTAGATTTCACTTGTTTTTGTAACTAATCGCTGCTACCAACTAGAAAAGGAAAATAAATTATGTACAAATGTTTTAGCAAACAAAAGACGGAAGCTACAGTTCACTAATTGATAGTTGATCAAATGAGTATATAAACATTGTTCTCAAGAACATAAAATTGAATAATTAAAAAGAAGAATGCTGTTAACGTATGTTCATACTGTCATGTAAAACATAGTATTATAACAGCTTTCCTCTCTAGGAGAAAGATGACATTAGAGAAAGGTAAAAATTCGATTTTCTATAAATAATAGTGTGATATTGAATAAACGGTAAAAATAGATTATAACAGCGACTAAAAATAGTTGGCACTGTGGAACATGCATATTCCTGTAAAATTATTCTAAAAGTAGAATTTTCGTAAGTGTGAAATTTAATTTGTGCATATGATATACAGACATTAGTTTAGTATAAAAACGAATATATTTCAATAGTTTCAATCTCATAAGGTAGAAAATTGTTCTAATGATTTGTCTATGCATCCTGATACACGTCATTTCAAGTGAAATTTGATATCGATGGATTTTGAATAACACTATCAATATCTGTTCCTTCTGGTAATATAATAACGTTTGTTGTTCGTATGTAATTATTCTGCTTTTGTTATTTTGAATTGAATAGAAATGTAACATGTAGACATAAAAGAGCAGTTCAATTTTTTATTTTTTTTGTCGGTATGATAAGGATTAGTTCAGACTTTAATCTGTTTCTTTTCCCATTCAAAGATATTATGTTTATATGTTATGACTAAAACCAATGGTTCTATTACATTTCGTATGACTAAACATAAAGTTTCAATTATACAGATAAGTGTGGATACCATCATCAATTTTCTTAATTTCTTAACAGACAAACTTGCCATGTTAAGTATTATTTTCTCTCGTTTCTTCAATAATGTAAGTCAGACTAGAATACGCAACTATAAATGAGATTTCGAAAGAGAACTGAAAATAGGTAGATAGTTTAATACTGGTTGAATAGAAAAAAAGAGCAGCTAGCTGTTTAACAGTTTTCTACCGATATAAAAAAAGATTTTTAATATTTAGTGAATCACTGATAAATACATCAAACTTTATGTCATCCTTTTGTATGTATAAATTTACTAATACCTTTCTGTATTTTTCATCTGTCACTCTCAGATGAATAGAATGTGGATTTTACCAACAAAAATTGCGTTGATGTATTTATTTTTGTATCTTTTTTAATAAGACTGTCTTAAATACTCTAAATCAACAAGTTCCCTCTATGGATTACATTAGAATTGCTATACACTTAATTTTGAAGTGTTTGAAGTCTATTGCAGCTTTTTCATATATAATTTCACACAGAACATAGGATTTGTTGTTAATACAGTATTGCAAAGATATTCCCTAGGTTTTATTATTTTAGAATTTTTGTATTTTTTGAAACTTTCGGTAGAAATAAGTTCTCATTTTAAACAAAAATATTCTCCTAAGTAAATATTTCAAAATTTGTAAGATGCCATGTAAAAAACGGTAATTTATTTATTTATATAAAATAAAATGATATATTAAGCGATCGGCCGTGACGTATTTTTCTTCTTATTTATTTATCATTAGCTAAGAGTGCGACAGCTAAAATTTAAATTATGTCATGAAAGAGTTTAATTGAACTTCTATATATTTGAAGTTTGGTGAGAAAACATCTATTACCTTCAGGTGCTGATGAAATCTATTTTTCTAATCCCTTTACTTTTTTGTTTTTTAGCATTATATTTGTAAAAGACGTAGGACGTATGAGTGAGAAGAACGTCAATCATCGATTACTTCCGTCTATATCAATTATAACTGTAACATATTAATCGATATTTATTATTCGTCATTCTTATATTTTATTGATCAACAACGGCGACAAATTATGAAATATATAACATCGACAACGAATCAAATAAATCGTTTGTTAAATCAAACAACATTTTCAAAATTAGTCAATGATAACAAAACATTCCTACCAGATCGATACACAAAAGTAATTTCTCAAACAGATGAACAAAATGAATGTATGAATTATGTACAATTAATTAATACTGAAAATAGGCAATATTCGAATCAAAATTGTTTTAAAATGCTTACTACTAATAGTTCCAGATATTCATTGTTTCCTTCGATTATTTTTATTCTGCTTATTTTCATGTCAAATTTTACTCAAAATTTAAACGCTTTACCAATTCGACAGCAACACCAGAGTAAGTATTAAATTTATAAAAAGAATCTATCAGTATATTCTGTGACTCTAAATAGAGTCAGTTTTTTATAAAATTTGAGCGTACAATGGTATAGTAGTAATACAGGATCCCATCAGATACGATCATGCAATAAACTCATGGTTCATCTGGATAGACAATGAATTTGCAACATAGTAGAGATCTATTATATCTAGTAGAACAACTATTAATAAGCGATCCATTTTTCAATAGATTGTTTCAAAAAAGGTTCTCCGAGCATACTATGTGAGTAGTGACAAAGCTACTATGACTGTTCAGACTTAGTCTGATTTTAAACGTTCATAAATTTTACCTATTGTTATTGACCCACCATCTGAAGCTTAAAGTTCAATACTTGCAGTAGTAATATAAAAATCTGTAAGATACAACTTCAGAAAATCATCCTATATCTCTCATATTCTATCAAAAAAGTTCTATGCTAGATTTTTCTCTATAATTTTTAGTTGAACGCATTACTCTGCTTTTTGTTTTAGTCAATTTCAAGTCTGATAACGATAATCCGTCACAAAATTCATATGTTCGATTAGATAATCAGTATCCCTCACAGAACAATCAACAAATGAAGTTGAATAAGTACAAAGTGTATAAACATCAACCATTTTCGAAACAAATTCCACAATATGCAATTCCCGTTCAATTGGAACAAGAACGCATTCGTGTTCAATCCTATGCAAATGGTGGCTCGTCTCAAATACTCGATCAAACAGCTCCTGGTCAAAATAATATGAACAATATTCATGATAAATCGAATGTCGCAGGGCAAGACGAAGAGCAAATAGCTCAGAGTATTCGTCGTGAAAGACAGCGACAAGTAATTATAACTAAAATCATTCGTCGGTTTGATGAAGATGGTAAGTCTTTTCAAATCGTAAATATAGAAAACATGTCTTGATTGACTCTTTAACTTTCAGGTAATGGCGAACTAGATGAAAATGAACTTTTTACAATGGCTTCACATACAAATACATTTTCAAAATTGTATAATTATTTAAAAGGAACTAAAAAGTGATATTTCGAAGATATGCTTATACATTTGCTTAGTATTACAGTTTTCTATGTAAGTGTCTTCTGTTTACTCATAGAAATATTTCTCTGATAACAACTAATTCGTTTTAGAAATCCGGTTTATTATTTACTACTTTTATGAATGCATGCATATAATAGGCGTGTTAATAGAACTCAATGTTATTATGTAACCTCATGTCAAGAATCAACAAATCGAAGAAAAAGTAAGGATTTCAGCAGTCGCTCATCATGTCTATCACGTTTATTTTATAATTGTAGATCGCCGCTATCATATATATCACAGATAATGCATTTGATGGTGCTTCAGTATCTTTTTGTTGTGTGTTTTGTTTTTGGTTCACTCTATTTTTATACATGAAATCTCTTGTCCTGTTTAACTTTAATTTTAAGTTGTGTAAAATATATAGCAAATTGTTCGATGTTCAATGTTCTATAAGTAAAACTAATAAAAAATATTTCTCTTATCATGCAAGTTTTGTGTGTAAGGAATAGCAATCAAATTACTTTTTGGCCAACGTACGGATAAATGTATAAAGGAAATAGCCGCAAAAATAACAAAACTCATTGTGAATGATACAACCTTTCATTCGACGAAAATGCACAGATACATTTTTTTATATTTTCGCCTGAATCTACTTAAAATTAGGTATGGCAAATACAAAAATCTTCACGCGGCTATGACATCTATCTTCATTGTTATAAGTCAGTGTTTTACCAATGTTCTGATCCGTAGATTACCTTAAAAGTCATATACGATGAATGTAGATATACAATAATGTTCAACTTTCAATTCTCTAGTCTAGACTTATTTTAATTGTTTGACGGATTTGAATTTTGAAGTACATGGTACTGCGCTGTACTCATAACTAAAATAACAGTGAAACTTTTCACTTTACATTCAAATACAAAGTGAATGCACTGAAAGTTTTAAACAAACAGCTCTAGAAGGACGATCTCCACCTTACTGCCTACAAATTAGATCTATCTTAGATCATCAAATCGAATCCGTTCGGTTCTTCTCAGATTCTCACGATATGGATTATTTTCATTAATAGTTGTTTTATCTAAAACACCACCATAACCAAGCATTTAAAAGAGATAGTTAAATCAATAACAATAAGTAATTCAGCTTATAATTATTCCAGTTTGTTTTTCTGTCCAGTCATTATAACACTCTTGTAGAGCTACAAATCATAGGAAAAAGCCGTCCATTTTAACTGAGAAATAGTCTTTCCCTTCTCGTTTATTTTCTAACATAAGTACAAGTATCAAACACTCTGCTAAATTGATAGATTCTGTACACCTCCTGACTCATTAGATATGCATAGATCATCGTCGCAGATGCTGCGACAGTTTTCCGAGTTTTAAAAGTATAATACTTTTCAAAACTTAGCAAAGTTTTAAACCATCTGGTAAAGCCTAGTAGAAATAGAAGAAGTATAATATACTAACAGAAGTCGAGTAATCATAATAAACTA